CAGCGCCGCCAGCCGGGCCCTGGCTGCAGAGGGAGCGGGTAAACAACAGCTCATTGCAGCGCGCTCTCACCCGAGCTGCTTTGTTGCTAAGGAATTCAGATTTCCCTGCTGACAATATGCTGCAAGTACTCCAGAACAAATTCATTTAAAATACACGTTGACTTGGAAAGTGACTTAAATATTTGTTGTCTTTTTTCTACTTTGCTTACTCATTTGTTTTTTCCTTTCAACTTATCATTTTCCCCTTTCTTTGCTTCAGTTCCTCTCTCCTTTCCAGTTGATTTTCATTCTCCTTAAAGGAATCAACAGAAATTTCGACGAGATAGTTCAAAAATATCTCAAGTGCTTCCTTGAGACTTAAGGTCTATCTGCTTGCACAATTCCGAAAGAAAAGAATTTTTAATTAAATATTAAATACTTTGAACTAATCTAATTGAATGGCCTCAATGTTCACTCATGGATAATCAGTGTGCCTAATTCCTAGCACACATTTCTAATTTTTTTTCACTGCAGCATGGGATTTCCAGTCTTCTCTCATGTAAATGTTTACCAGAACACTATGTTTACCAGACTATGGTTGTTTTAAGGTGTTTTACAATTCAGGTTGTAATTGGTAGGTCAGCTGATACTCTGACATGATAATTGCCCTTTTTGTTTCCTTTTTAAAAATTCTTCTTCCAACACTTCAATTTATTCTAATGTGTACCATCAAAGCTAATAATTCTCTTTGCGGGGCTGAATCTTCCAATCACATTATTTAATAAAGCAGCCCTAAAACTCAACTCCAGTTTGAAGTTCTTAAAAATTCTCTGTCTAATATTCAAAATCCATCTAACAGAACAAACAACTAAAGTGAGATCCAGAATTTCTTTAAAAAGCATGATTATACTGACTGATAACACATTAAGTTTCTTGCCCCTCACTCCCTCAGCTATGGCTTTAAAATGGGTCAGGAATAATTTTAATTGTAGCAGCAAAGTTTTGCTGGTAGGTAGGCTTCTGTCATAGAAGCTGCCTTGCTGTCACACTTTTGTGTACTGAAAACCCCTTTTACTTTCAGAAAAACTCCATGTCTTTGCTTCTATTCTACACAACAGTAACTATTTTATCATCTTTATCAGACCTTCATATACCCTATTTGAAAAGATTCCCAACTGCAGCTTAACATTTTGTATTTTGTTGTCTGTTCCTGTATCTTTCTTAGCCAGATTAGTAGCATCATAAATTCAGGAATCTACAGATGAGATCCTTGATAAACTGTGTGTTAATCTATGTTAAATTCTCCCATTTCCCACACTGCCAATACACAAACCCTTGAACAGCTAAGGCAATAATAATGCCCCTGAGTGACAAAGGGAATTCAGCCCTGTCCCCACCGGGGGGCTGTGGGGTTTGGACACTCGGGCTGTGCTCATCCCGGCCAAAGGCATGCAGGCCCCAGCACTGTAATGGGATCCACATTCCAGAGGGTGGCAGCTCAATGTTTGCCTGTCTAGGGCTTTGTGTTTGTTTTCATCAGGCATTTCCTGTCCCAGGAACATTTAGGCCAAGTCAGATGTGAACCAGCGTCTATTCCTTCATTTTGTCAGCTCAACTGTTAAAAACCATCCACTGCCAAGTGCCTACTGTTTGGTATTGCAAAGAAACCTGTGACCTTACTTTGCTCTTTTACAAAGGTCAGCACTTCTTAATATCTTAGATAGAACATTCCAGCAAAATTAAGCCTTCCTTGAAATAACAAGGAATAACACTGCTTAGGATCACTTTTTTTTTTAATAATAGGAAAAAAATTAGACTCCACCAATGCAGTATGCAGCAAAGATAGATAAACAGGAGCATGGTTAGGACACAAGGCATGCAGGATCAGTGTGAGGTTCCCCACCAATTATACACAGCAGTTGTAAAGCACATACCTGTGTCTGTCATCTTCAGGTGACTTATTCTGTGCTGAAACTGGCTGAGATAGTATCTTCTGTTGGCCTTTCTTCATTAAAAAAAGGAAAAAAAGCAATTGATTTTGGGAGATTGTAATCCATTAAAGATGAATACCTATTGGTAAATCACAAATCACAGTAACTACAGTCTACTACGGAAAAGAATGGAAACTAGTCTACTGTGGAAAAGAACTTTTGAAACACAGGAAAAGATGTCTAAAAATGAAAATGCCATTACTGTTTTGTTGTTAAATGTATATCTGTGCAATCTGGCCGTGCCATGTGGTATATTAAGTACCCTAAGAATATTTCATCTTCTGCTATATTTAGAGAAGAAAAGAACAGTGGTTTTGTTGTTGCTGTTTTCTAAAGGAAAGAGACTAGATGCTATTTTGGCTGTTTCATCTGCTCCTGTTCAAATGCCAAGCATTTAGCCTCAGCTTGTCACTGCTCAAGAGAAGAATATGTTTTCACAGCCCATAAAATTTAAGTTTCAACAGTAGGAAAAGTGCATACAAGCACAGCTTTCCAGAATACTTAGTAATTTGCTTTTTAAACCTTGTTTATTTGTTAATGAGTGTACTTACAATGAATATTTCTAATATGCAGAACACCTTCTCCAAACTGTTTTGGGTATAAACCATACCTGTCCCGGTCTCTTTTTATTCATTTGTCCAACTTTCATATAAAGTGTTGATTCCATCTGGTTAAACAATAGTACTGATAATGAACAGCAACTTTTTCTGTTTTGAGAAAACTTCCTTCTTACTAAGTTCATGTTTTCTATTTCTGTTGCTTATTCTTTGTATCTCTCTCAGCTTGAACAATGTAGATCATATTTCACTAGGAGGTTACTGTAACATTATCTGGTTTTCAAATACTAATTTTTAGTATTTAAGGCATAAAACCACCTACAGATACTTTTCTTAAACAACTAAACAAGTTTTTAATGTGGTTTTAGGTATGTATCTGCACAAATGCTGTAGGCAGGTGTGTGAATACCTACCTGATGAAATTACACAGAAACTATTTTTTAATGTATTTTTAATACAGGTTTACAACTCCGAAAAGAAATAAATTAAAGTTTACCTTGCATTTGAAAGCAACATGCTTTTAGTAGTCAAGGTCTAAATTTCTTTTGAAGCTCAACCCTGTGTGCATGTGAATCCAGACTAAATTACATAACAGTCTGCTACTCACCATTAGCTCTTCAGCCTGACGCACCAGTATTTCAGTTTTGGCTTCTAATTCTGCATTCAGTCGCCTAAAAGAGTAAGAATTTTTTATCACTGAGTTTTTGAAAAATTTAAAAAGAATAAATGTCAGCGTGACAGTATTTTTGCCTGAACTAAGTGAAATTTTAATGATTCCTACAAAGGAATGCTGAAACACTTCAAGGTATTAAAGTTATGTTTCAACAATTTCCTGTGTTTCAGCCAAATTAATAGTAATAAAACACACCCATTAAACAGCATAGTTTAGACTATTAACTGTGAGAGGTGAAGGATATCTTTAGCTTTGGACGTGCCATTTCTTAATACAGATTGTCTTTATTTCCTAAAAGTTTTCCATGTCTAACAGAGTCCTTCCTTTCAGTACACCCAGCAGCAGGGGTTGGGGAAGGACTCGTGTAGGACAGCATTGCTCATCAGGTATTTTGAGATGTGTTGCTGTATGGATGTGCAGGTTACGGCACTGGGGTGTTCCTGTGTGCTCTCACACAGCCCCTGCTGCTGTGACTGCCGGAGTGTGAGATGCGGCTCTCTGTTCACCGGGGCTGGGCACTAGCAGGTAATAGGGACAGGCCGTCCATTTAAAACCTTTACAGATTTTAAGCTGTTTTTAACAGGCTTAAGCTTTTATACAGTCGTAATTTAGAACTAAAGTCACTGTTCAAAGTGCAGAAGAACCTCGTGTCCGGGCCT